GTTAACACTCTTTTTTTTATTTTTAAACAATTAGATTACATTTATCAATTTGCAATTTAGTTTTTTTCAAAAATTATAATTTTAAAGTACTCGGAAAGACGCTTTTTTTTTAAAGTTAAATTCCGTTTATTGGTTCTCGAGATATAAGCTTTCAAACTTTATCGGCATTTACCGTTAATTTATAACAATTTAGCAATAATCTTTGATCCAGTGGCTTCGTTTTTCCGAATTGTAAGCTGGAAAAAATTTTCATATCCATAAGTTATCGGCAACATAAATAAATCAGCGGATTACATTTATAAATTGCAATTTATTTATTTTTTTAAATTATAATTTTAAAGTACTCGGAAAGGCGCTTCTTTTTTTTAAATAAGTTAAATTTTGTTTATTGGTTCTCGAGATATAAGCGGTCAATGTTTATCGGCATTTACCGTCAATTTATAAACAATTTAGCAATAATCTTTGATCCAGTGGCTTCGTTTTTCCGAGTTCTAAGCTGGAAAAAATTTTCATATCCATAAGTTATCGGCAACATAGATAAATCAGCGGAAAAGCTGTCGCTCGCACGCGCGAAAAGTGACTCAAAACACGAAAAGTGGGGGAGGGGGCTTTCGCTCCGAGACTGAATTCGGAGGTTCAAAATGCGAAGGTACGAAAAAAATTGCATTATCTCGGCTTCTAATGGACCAATTTCGATCTTTTTTTTAATCCGATGTCTCGCGAGCCAAGGAATTCGAATATCGTAATGCCAACTGTCTAATTTGCACATATTTTGTTATAAACAAAGTTTATTATTTATGCATTAAATATACTGTATATTTTACCCTACGCTATTGCATTTTTTCAATGAAAAAGTTTGTTTACGTATATATTTCAATACTATGAATATGAATGTATTTAGTTATAATTATTATTACAATTATTTAAATAATTTTTGTTTTAACAAATGAATTTTTTTTTAATTAATTTTTTTGGTAAATACAGATAAAATTAAGAAAAAAATAGTCCTTTATAATTATAATTTTTGAAAAAACTAAATTGCAAATTGATAAATGTAATCTCATTGTTAAAAAAAGGAGTGTAAACTTTAAAAATTTACTGTGGCCGTCCTAATCCAACCGATTTCAATTTTTCAAAAACCATTTGAAAGGTTGAGCGGTCTTTTCTATGTGAAAAATCTATCTAGATGTTTTATTTGACGTTGTACAACATTTTGAAATTTCGAAAATTTATTTTCAAAATTTTTTTCAAAAAATTATTTGGCGAAAACAATAGAACCCATTTTAATGAAATTTGGTGCGTTGTTTTATTATACTCTGAAGTTTTTTTCAGCAAAATTAGAATGCCCTGGGAGTAATTAAAACATTTTAAAAAAATTATCCAAATTATTATTATTTTTTCATCAATTAATGTTATTTTGCAACATCAGTAATAAATTTCAACATTTTTAACTTGCAGTATATTGTGCAAACTCAATTCTAAAACTTTTTTTCCTCTTCAATATTCTTCCAAAACGCATAGGTTCCAATATAAGTATAAGTAAAAAACTCATAAATAGGTATTTTTATAAATTTTTTGCAAATGTTTGCAACTTTGAAAATGTTCCGGACCTCGCTCAGATATAAGGATCTACACTTTTATTATGTGAGTTGTACTGAAGGTAATCCAGAAAAAATTTGCTTGTCCCCTCTCACATCCACCTAAAGACAGATCCGTCCTGGTCTAGTATGTGTATATCTAAAAAAACAGTTGCTTGCACCTTAGAAAAGCAGATGATTTATCTCCATAATTGCATTTTATTCAAATTCGCAGGTAACTACGCACCTGGCACAGACACAGACATTTTGTTATTCTCTACTAAAGAATCACCTGCAACCTTAAATCTACACCTAAGTATTTTAGTTGTACGACAAAACTGATTTATAAGTTTCAAAATGTTTGTGTTTACAATTATTTCCAATGATATTTCACGTAATTTTGGCAACTTAAATAGATTCATAAATTTGAGGTTAAAAATGGCGTATTTTTCACCTACTCGCAAAGGAAGTAGGAAATATGAACCTAAAATTCACGATTTTGGTTTCAAATTAGTTGTAGTCGTGGTGCTCGCCAATTCCACATCGTCCAACCCCTGCGGAAGCTCGACAATTGTTAAACAAAGTACGTAGGGCGACCTTTACGGAAAAGCAGGGTGTCGGAACACCTCGGGGCCGAGGTGGTCCGTCCAACGAGCGCTCCTGGGGGGTACATCCTATTCCGCAACGTCCCGGGCCGGTCGATAGGGGGCGCAACTGACCCACTGACCCAATTGCGTGACGTCACCGTCGACCTGACCCCCCATCCACGCAATCGCTCATCTTTTCCGGGGTGGACTCGCGGCGCGAGCGGATTAGCCTATTTGTAACGGCCAAATGAGGGGTGGAGATAAGGTACAAGGAGTAGAGGATGATGTACGGGTCTTGTAATTTGTTCGCTTGTTTTTAAGGTAACTCGAAACACGTAACACGAAGTTTCCCGGAAGAATCTAGCAAAGGAGAGTTTAGTCCACGATAATCGAAGTAAAAAGAGACGAAATATAATAATAGCAGTTTCCACACAATTACGGGAAAAGTTAGAACGTCTATATTGGTACGTGCATACATCTTGTTGCATATTTCAAGCGTAAATCAGATGGGTACAGATGAAACAAATCTAAAATTTGTATTAATAGTCCAATTAAATAAGCCTTTAAATCGAAATTTTGGTCAACTTGCCTGAATTTTTGATATGAGTTAGTTTGAGGTATATGGTATATTATAACGATAAGTGACAGTAATTTTTTGTTCAACCCCCGGCCAAGGGTGAAAAAAGATAAAACAAAGGGGTTTTTAAAGTTAACTCAAAACGGGTAAGGGCTAGAAAAAAAAGCTTAAAAATTATAAAGCATACAATTCTACATAAAAATGGTCCATTGACTTTTTCTTATATCGTTAAAATTAACAGAGTTAGGGAGGCTAGAAGTTAAGGGAAGATTTCAGAAATTTAAAAAAATCAGATGCAGAAAAATTAATTCTAAAAAATGTAACCTTTCTTTTCAGAGAAATAGATATATTTTTTAATTTTTAATAAGAAAGTTATAATAATTTCAAATTTGTTATTAACCCCCCTAAACAGAGATTTTAACGAAAACCCCGAAACAGGTCAATTTAATTTTGTCAATTTGTTTACATCAATCATATTTTTAAGTCTTTTTGAGTAAATATGATTTTTTTATAAATAAAAAATATAGTTTTTCTGAAATAAAAAATAAGGGTAGCAACCCCCAAATCACTTGCGAAATATTTGTTTTTTATCATAAGTAATTTCCATTTTGTTTCATTTCAAAATATTGATTAGAACCCCAGAAATTTTGAAAAAACTGTTTTGGAGGGCGAACTTTGAGGGTGTATTTCACCCCGTAAATATATTTTTCCGCCGATAAAAAAATACGTGTCTTTTACATTTTTTAGATTGAAAAAAAAATACAAAATTCATTCGTTTTTCTGCTCGTTTGATTTTTTAAATTTCTGAAATCTTCCCTTAACTTCTAGCCTCCCTAACTCTGTTAATTTTAATAATACAAGAAAAAGTCAAGATGTCATTTTTATGTAGAATTGTATGCTTTACAACTTTTATAAGAAACTTTTTTTCTATCCCTTGCCCTTTTCGAGTTATCTTGAAAAACTCCTTTATTTTATCTTTTTTCACCCTTGGCCGGGGGTTGAACAAAAAATTACTGTCACTTATTGTTATAATATACCTCAAACTAACTCATATCAAAAATTCAGGCAAGTTGACCAAAATTTCGATTTAAAGGCTTATTTAATTGGATAAATAAGATGTCAAAGTGTTTGACTCGGTTTTTGACTGAATTAAAACCATTAGTAAAAGCTAAGAATCAAATTGGGTCGACATTTGAACCCTGAAGAATACCAGGAATAGAAATACAATTATATGATGTAGAACCGCCATATTCTTTTCTGTCGGTGTATTAATAAATATGATTCAAATAATTATTTTGCCATAGTCATAGATACATTGCGTGAGAAATGCCATCATTAGATAAATTTAAAACATGTTACCACCAAAAAGCAACAAAAACATTTAAAATGTCATATCAGCTACGTGTAAAAAAATTGAATGAATAACCGATTAGTAGGGCATTAATATTGATTACGTTTCAGCATTTTTTTTTTTCGAAAAAATACGAATTTCAGCAACTTTCCCCGACGTGTGGGAGAAATATAATCCAAAACACGTTTCTAAGGGAAATGCAACGCACTGTTGAGTGCAAATCTAGATTTCGCGTCACTAAAAATAATTTACAAAGGAAATAATTAATATTTCCAAGACACCTAATGTAGCTGACAAGCCATAGCGAGTATGAGCGTCGCAAAATTGTTTAGGAAAGGTGGTTACCCCAAAATTGGAATGTGCAACTAACTATGGTCCTCCATTTTGTGAAAATTGGAATTGTAATTATGTGTAAAAAGTATGTTCGTATAATATCTCAAAAAAATATCCGTCAAAAAATGACCTGCAACTGAGGCTTTCAATTTAACTGACCTGACTAGCTTTAAATAACCCCAGAACGCAGAGATCACTTAATTCGCTTGCTCCTTTCGCGTATTTCCTTGATGAGATGACAAACGAAATAAGGTCGTTTCTCATTTTTTTTTTTTTTTGTATACGAGCGTACTGTGCAAAAGAGATAAGGAAATTTACTTAATCGTCTTTAGTAAACCTTTTTCCGCTAACCTCCTGTCCTAGGGAGTCCCGCCTAAAAATAGGATGGGCACAAAGAACATTTCGGCTCACGCCGTACACAAGAACGCGCCTATTTAGCGGGCAAAATATGTGCAAGATGCGCAGATCTGCAAGTTTATTTTCGGCCCCTGCGGAACTTGGCACGTCGGCCGATTCGGGACCTTGGGATGATATTCCGTGGGCCGAGATTATTTTAATAACCAGATACTACCGGGCTATTTCGAATCCGGGGACAGCAGGAATAATAACGTGGCGGCCGACAACTTCTGTTCGAATTTCACCCATCTTTCGAAAATAATTCGATGATCTTTCAAAGCCACGTGGCACAAAACTACCAAAACCGTACACAGGTAATCGCAGACGGACTCTACGACGCAAATCGGAAAGCGCAGTGCGGGAAAATGAATTTTCACGGACGTTTCCAAAATTTTCCAAAGCGAAACAATTTTTTTTGCGTTATTTTTACCACAATTTCGCGTTAAGTACTTATCAACTGTAGAAAAACAATCATAATTATGAAAAAACTAATTTACTCGATGTAAAAACGAGGACGCAAAAAATTTTAAAACATTTTGAAATATTTTATTTTTTTGAAAAATTTTCATCTCGATTTCAAAACTAGAACCTTCAAACTCGAGTTCAAACTTCTTTTTTATTCTAGTTACGACCATTATTAGAAGTTATAGCCTTTCAAATATCACTTAAAAAATTTGAAAATTTTTCTGTCCCTTTAATTTTTTTTTGTTGACGCTACTTTCGAATTTTGGCTTTTTTTTCGAAATTCGGACTAAAACAAGGCCGTAGGGTCAACAATAACCGACATAATTTACAGATCAACAATTTGTTGGAAAAGGTCATAATGAAAAGAGGGTCTTTTTTCCAGGGTACCAATTTTCCGAATGAGATGCGGGCGTCGCTGCAGAACCCCTGCAGAGACAGCATAGAGTGTGTTTGAACGTCCACCCAAGTACCAGCATATAAAGATAGTGATAAAAATACACGAGACTATCATACTTGTCAATGCTAATACAAATCAAGAGCGATAAGGCAAAGATAAAAAAATAAAATAAAGCATTATACAGTGTGAGAGCTTCTTCAGGTACAAAAATTGAAAGTTACGCGAACCTCCCGAAACCGCGAGGGCACGGCTCTGGCCGACGAACGGCAAGTAAAAACAGATTGATTTTAAATATTAAGTGGTCAGTGTGTCAAGGACGCCGCCGTGTATATTCTCCCCGATCGGCGATAAACCTCAATCGGGAAAAAACGCGATTTTCCTACGGCCGCGCCGCTAGAAAATTTCGGGACGGCTAAAAATAGCGGCCGGTTCACTGGCTGTTATTTTCTTATTGAAATTTGCAAAGTTTACTAGCCTAAGCAAGGTAACGAATACTATCAGAGTTGAACGACATGATTGTATTGGCGTAGTACGCGGCTGGGCCGAGCAGTAGCGCTGGCGGTTTCGCCTTGAGTTTAAAAATAGCCCGCGCGTGAAACGAACAAACAAAGAGGCCGCGGCCAATCATAACAAGGAAGTTTTTCTGTTTGGTAAACACCGAGCGACATAAAGTCCCGATTGACATGAAAAACGCAGGAGAAAATACGTGAACTAAAAAAAGTACAAAAAAATGTGTACCTACAAAGAGTCAAGTTTTTTTATCTAGTCGAATAAGCAACGTGCTTTACGGCGAAATGGTTTAATTTTATTAAAATAATTTTAAATTTTTTTAAAATAACATTAAAATAACATGAATTAATATCTATATTAATCCTTGATTTTTTTTTCATATTTCTACACAATTTAAATATACAGGGTGTTAATTAAGTATGTACAATAAATTCAACAGACGATTATTTGAGTGATTTTAAGACAAAATAATATAAACATATTTTTCTTATGCGGTGTTCTGTCGCCTTCCAAAGTTCACCATCTGCTAGAATTATATTATTATTATTATACAAGAAATAATAAAGTAAAAGGGAATAATTGGCTTTTAAATTTTACCATGTGGTACAAAAATTTATATTTTAATAATAAAATCCCGTGTACCTCAAAAATTAAAACTAGTACTACAATAAAAAGTGAAAATATGGCTTGCAATGACGAAAAAACATAATTTTCACAGTATTTTTACCTGTGTATAAAAATTATATCCACCTTTCCTTTGGCAGTTATTTAATTATTTAATATTACCCAACGCGCGTAGGTATGTTTATTTTTTACCTTAGTTTGTATACAACTCGCAAAGAAAGACAGACGCGCTGTCAGCAATGCGCGAATGAATGAATACGCGAAATGAAAACACGGGATTGCGTAAGGAAGCTGCTGGATTGCAGTTTTGTTCTCCACTAAATAATAACACGTTTGAGTTCATTCAAGCAATTGTCAACAAAGGCTGTATCTAGAGGTGCATTTACCATATGTCTGTCTGCATGTCGACAGCATAATAGCCTGTATCATTTAACCACACCGTTTATAATATAATCCAAAATGTTAAAAGTGTTTCCACTCTCAAAATACAAGAGAGAAATAATTTTGCGGCTTTCTACCGGCCTTTGAAATTATGGTTTCTTCTTTCAAAACGCCCTGTACAGTTCCGTGAAGGAAAATGTTTGCATATTTACATAAATTACAAATAAATAGTATTAATGGAGCCCCTACTAATACATATATGGAGATGTTGATAGATACGCCCTTAAAAAATGTTTACGCTCTAGCTTTAGACTCATCATCATTCAGGACGAGCACTAGGTACATACCTACGTAGATAGTTGAAAATAATCACGGTATCGATAAAATATAAATAATCTGGTAAATAATTATCACCTTGAAGTTATTAGTCACATAAATACAGCATAAACATCGTAAATAGAAATATTCAGGTCAAACTCGTACAGAGTGTCCGAAATAATCAATAAGACCGAGAATAACACAAAACTTACAATAAAATGTTTTATTTTTTGCCTCAAAAACATACGTAAAAACGTACATCCTACAAAAACATTCTAGAGACCAATTTCATTCAGAATTGACGGCGGATTTCTAAAAATATATCAAAACGGGAAAAAGTCAGTGGCGTACCATTTTTTTTATTAAAAAAGGTTGTGGTGGCATTCTCGCACGGACGCCACTGGTACAAATAGAAATATTCGGATCACCCCAAAAAATGCACTTTTATCCCTCCAAAGCGTTCTTCAAATTTCGAGTCAGTATCTTCAAAACTGAAATAATTTATAAAAATAAATAAAAAATTTAAATTCAGATACTCTGTATCTCGGAAGCGAAGCACCTCCTAAAATACGTCGCACTTATTTACAAACACCCTGTATACATTTACATACATATTTTTAAATAAATAGTATAAACCTTGGTATTAAAAACGAATTATGTAATTAACTGTTAAATAAATTTCCCTAAACGCATGCGAAGGTGGTTTGGGGTCTAATGACGGGTTATAAAATTTAAATTTGGATATTGTTGAAAACCCCGAATTACGAGAATGCGCCGTTATTTTAATTATACATTCGTACAACTTAACCGCTCATTTCGCATGACCTATTTTCCAGAGTAAGTAAAATATACAATCACGCTGATAACAGCATAACGCTTTGATAACAGCGAAACGTGCTTTTCAAAACAATTCGAATACAGCTCGTACATCAACAGATTTACATTCGCGTTACTTCAGCTTTTTCTATAAATAATAAAATCCTCCCGTGTCCGGTTGTCAAAAAGAAAAAATCTCCAGACACGCAACTGTCAGATCGACTTGGATAACGCGCAAGTTACTCAACAAATTCACTTTCGACAGTCGCTCGTCTGGACTTTCTAATATCGGATCGGAAATGAATGCAATTACACACGGGATTATGCGGTAAATAATAATAAAAGAGGAGGAAAATGGCAAAGAACGATTACATCTGACCGGTCTGAGGCTCGCCGGGCGCAGGCGCACCTCGGTCGATATATTAAAGGCTTACTTACACCTGTACTTGAACCTGACCCAATATGGGACACGCTTTCTAGGGGTAGCCTAGATAAACTAGAAATAGACGTGGACTAGGTCAAGGGAGGCGGGCAGCTGCCTGCGGCAATGCGACAAGCTGAGCGCGGGGGAGCATTTAAAGGAACGTAACGTGTCGAGATAGGGTTCCCAATCCCGGGCGTAACCTAGGACAAGAGCGCATAGTTGCCGAGTCCCACTAACATGCATCTGGCTGGGCCGGACGTCATCCAGACAGCCAACAGCACGGAGACGAATGATTTCACTGTTTCGCTTTCGATATCACTTTCGCACAGACGGCTGCGACTAAAATTCACGAAACAAAAGTGAATCGTCGCGGCAGCGCTTAATCTTACATCGAAAACAGGTTTGGGGAACGGGCGAACTTACAACAACAACACTTTTGATAGTCGGTTAACCTGCAAATCTGAAATGACATGCTGTGGGCAATGGCATGGACAATTACCTCCTGAATTTGTTGAGAAAGGCACTTGCAATTCGACGTTGTCATTGTCCGTGGTCGCCTCCAGGTCCACTTCGGCATTTACCACTGAAACCGTAGATGTGCCGTTTTCGTTCTGGACAGTAGATGCGGCAACAGAGCCAGGAACGCTCATACTTGTCGCTTCTTCGTGCATTGTTTATCCGATTACGCACTTGTCCCGCAACGATAACCGAATTTACCACGCCTCGAAGCCTTAAGAAATTATGACCTTCAAATTCGCGCCAAGGTTTCACAAATATCTATTTCTTAAAGCGGTGTAAAAATCGAACGTTGTATAAATGTAGGTCTGTAGGCCACTTCGCTTACACTTTGCATTCAGACAGACATGACTGCCGAGTCAAGCGCACAACTGCTTTCATGAGCTCGCTCCTGTCATTTCTCGCTGGGTCTTTTTTATCCGGCCCTTCGACGGCGTGTAAAACGCCTCGAAAATCGCCCAAAATGATTTTCGGGCCGAAATCAAGACCGCCCCTTCTCGTTTGTTTCATTTCAGCGCTCAGCCGACTTTCTCGATTTAAGTAGGTCAAAGTTGTTTATTCATTCCGTAGCGTCTATCTGTGTTACATAACTCGGATTCGAATTCAGGCTGTATTATAATACTAGATATTTATGTATTATTCATTTACGATTTAAAATAATGTTCCATTTTTTAAAACTCTGCATGCTCTGAACTGATTCGTGCGGACGCAACACGCGTGCGCCGTAAACTTTTAAATTTCGGCGGTAGGTTGCCCAACACCGAAACTGAAAGTAAAAGTGACACCGATTTTGTTATCGATTACATTCATAATTGGGTCTATCACAATTATGGCCGCAACAGTTGGGCAGAAAAGGATCTTCGCAATAGCCGTGGATTTTATTTCGTTGCCTGGGCGGGTGTGTCAAAGTGAAATTTGGAACATGACAGTTCAGGTAGCTGCGCTGTGTTTTATAGCAGGACGGTCCCAATAATTAAAAAAAGCGTTTGATTTACAAGTAACGACGGATTTTTATTATTTTATTACCAACTTTTATTAAAAATTGTTTGGATAGTCGAGGATTAATGGCTTAAGAGCCGTCAATTCCGTAACTGTCTAATCTTTATTTGAGTTCAATGAATATAAAGCAGATCTAGTTCTAACTAACCACATAAATATACTAAACTTGAACTAGGTACGTATTATTTGTTTTAAGGTTTTAACGCATAATAAATTTAAATCTAAAAACTAAATTGTTTGAAGATGAACAAACTTTTGTAAACTCCGTTTAAATATTTGGAGTTATCTTTTTTAACTAAAATTATATTATTTTTGTACATTAGGACTTGCGAAAGTATAAAACGTGGAAATTTTACTTCAAGAAATATTGATTGTAACAAATTTCAAGAAAAGTAATTATCGTTTATGCAACCCTGAGTAAGATGTGTATTGCTGGTTGCAGGACGTTTTTTATATAGTGCTTTTATTATATTACTGTGGCTGTCATTGGCTGGAAAAATGTGTCCAAATAATATTTTTGATAGTTTGAAGTAATTTTTGAAAAATGGAAATTAATTTGGATGTTTTTTTCTGCATTTCGTGAATAAGTAAGAAAGAAAAAGCACATAGGGTGGTATAGTTTTTCAGCGTAATGATTTTTCGCGACCGCTGGGCGCAGGGATGGTTCGATCGGAGTAATTTTAGTATCGTTGTATAGGCTGGACTTTCAGTATTGATTCGAGTTACTCTAGGCATTCCATAGACAAAAAGGGTAAAATTTATAGCAATGACATGGTAATGTTGATGCTATATCAATAAGGGTTGTAGCTGATTAGGATTATTTTTCTCAGGAAATTAAAAAAAAATTAAATTAGAGAAAGTTGTTTTTTATTAAAATATCTTCCATCTACGGTAATTATTTGTGTTCAAAACAAAATGTAGAATGTAAAATTGTATAATTTGTAAAAAAAAAATAAAATATCTTTACATCTAAATAACAATCATAATACAATAAAAAAAAATAAAGAAGAGGAAAAACTAGCACCGACAAATGAACACCGCCCCTCAAAATAAAATATAGGTTAGATTTGTACTGCTCATATCAATCTTTGCCGATTTTCTCCACCGTACACTTAAAACCAGACCATAACTGCCGACGTTCCGTCTACGCTCAGGCCTGCAACTTGGCGTTATCGATAATCGCCCTGGAAATGATCAGCCTCTGAATCTGAGACGTGCCCTCGTAGATCTGATAGATCTTGGCGTCCCTCATCAGTTTTTCCACGGGATACTCGGTGTTGAATCCGTTCCCCCCGAATATCTGCACCGCGTCGGTGGCGCACTTGTTGGCTATATCGGACGCGTAGCATTTGGCCACGGAAGCCGCCAGGGTGTTCCTTATCCCCCTGTCCGCTTGCCAAGCGGATTTCATCCAAGCCAGGCGGGCGGTCTCCACTCCGATGGCCATGTCCGCGAGCATGAAGGCCACCGCTTGGTGGTGGGCGATGGGGACTCCGAACGTCTTCCTTTCGTTGGCGTATTTGGTGGCCTCGTCCAGGCAGCGTTGCGCCAGGCCGGTGGCTCCGGAAGCGACCTAGATCAAGCACAGAAAAAAATATAAAAATACTAATCGTCGTTTTTATAAAAATCGCAAAAAAGGCGTCCGTTAAATATTTTATCTCGTAGTTTCCAGACATTATGAACATTTTTAACCCGCCGAACCGTTCGAATGCTTACCGGAGGCCTGGTCGAGTCGAACGTCGACATTGCGATCTTAAATCCGGCCCCTTCACCGAGCAGGACGTTCTCCTTGGGAATACGTACATCCTCAAACGTAATTCCCCTGGTGTCTGAGGCTCTTTGTCCCATGTTTATTTCCTTCCTGCCCGGAGTCACCCCCTCCCAATCCCTCTCGACGATGAAACCCGTGAAGGCTTTGCTAGCGGGCGCTTTGGGATCCGGATTGGTACGAGCTAAAACGAAGTACCTACAAGCAAAAATAAAACGGTTATTCTTCAATATCGAAAATGTATAATTTGCACGTACCAATTAGCAACGCCACCGTTGGTGATCCACATCTTCTGCCCGTTCAGGATCCACTCGTCGCCCTTCTTCTCGGCTCTGGTTTTCACTCCGTTGACGTCAGACCCTGCTCCTGGTTCTGTCACGGCATACGCCGCCATTAGAGGCTCCTCGATCAGCCTCCCCAGGTACTTTCTCTTCTGCGAGTCGTTGCCCGCCACCAACACTGGAGTTTGCTGGAAATTCAAAAAATAAACGTGAATTGTCCCAACGTGTCTTAGAAATGGCAAATATTTACCCCTAATCCGCTGGCTTCCATGGCCGTCATCATTCCGGTACAACCATAGGCCAGTTCTTCTGCTAAGAGACACGAATCGAATACTCCGAAACCCATTCCGCCTATATCACATAAAAGCTTTGATTGAATTTGGGGTATAACACGTTAATTTTTTACGAGACTGGCTTTTGCACTTACCGTATTCTTCCGGAATGTGTCCATTCATTAAACCCAAAGAATGAGCTTTCTTGATAACCTCCCACGGGTATTTTCCAGTGCGATCGTACTCAGCAGCGACGGGGATTATTTCCTCTCTTGCAAACTTTCTAGCTAGTTCTTGGAATTCCTTCTGAGTGTCATTCAACTCTGCGATTAAATCAAAAGAAAATCGAAACGTTTGTTATTAATGTGGACGTTCGTTATTTATTATCATTACAATTAAATACGTGCTATTAAAGCAAAAAAACCGACATTAATTATATTTGTAAGGTACATGTAATTAACAATAACAGCTAATTAAGTAGGTATTTAAAATTAATAAGGATATAATTATCACAAGTAAATAGTTATTACAATTAATCATTATTCATAATTAATGCTTCAAAAAAATAAATACAATATTTGAATTAGATATTAACATATGTCTGTATCAGGAAGAAATCCTGACTTGTCCTTTTTTAAATAATATATACTTACACTGTATATACAAAAAAAAAAGTGGTATAGACATGAATTCTTACCAAAATTGTATCCATTTGGTGACGAACTTGCCATGCATTTTTGTGCTGCACTAGCCGACCTAATATTTCCTACCCTCAATAGGGTTCTTTGAATCTGAAAAATACGTATTCTTTTAGTAAACTCGCGATTAATAAATAAGAAATTTACCTGTTGCAGAAGGGACATCTGGATAATTGTTAGCGCAAAAATAAGAAACTTTGGACTTTGTAACACTCGCTGTTTCAAAAAATTATGATGCACCACTAAGCAAACAGCCTGCAACAAAAATAATTTTAAATCCCCACCGTTTATATACATAGATAAAAACTAACCTTTGAACTCGTTCTTGCCTGCTGATGTATTTTCAGACTGGCGCGGTGTTGCCACTGTTGCCAGTCTCGTAAAGTCGAAATCTTTCAATTGCTTTCAATCGAGTACATTTAAAACCCTTCACATTCCTTTAAACTCTCGTGGTTAGTTCCGACTATGTCTACTAGATGGCTCATATCAGTTGCCCTATTTAAATCGCCTAAATATTGATAAAATACCGCAATCAACTACCATCCATTTTGGAGCAAAATCCTTATTACCAACCTCGAAATGTAAGTTCAATAAATATTTGCGCAAATGATTAATTTTTACATAATATTTAGAACAATTCATATTCGCAATATTTATATCTGTAATACCTACCAAAACAATTAAGTTTTAATAGTTTTTTTTTTAATATAAATAAGTATTTTTTTATAAATAAATTAACATTTTATTATATCAAACCATTATTTTCAAGCAAATAAGAACATTGACTGGGGTACTTGGTCAATCTAGGGACTTTACCCTTTTTAAATGTTTTGATTTGCACCAAAATGGCGGTTTTACACATGTCAATTCAAATTCAAAATATGTGCAAATAGCAGTAGAGATCTTGCCATAAAATGGCAGTTGATCTTAGATGTATGTATATTTTCCTTTTATTTAATATGATTTTTTTCAAAATAAGTGCAAATCCTAAAAATGTTAAAATTTTTAATCAAAATCCTTCATATTGAAGGAAATCCTTCAAGGATGGCAACACCGTACGGTAGAAACTAGAAACACTTTTGTAGAAGATCTTGACAGCGACAAACTCGCATCTGACAGGACAAAATTTTTCAGATAAAAAAAAGATAAAAACTGTAGTAAAAAAGAAAATAATTATTTTTCTTATTCCAAAGTAATTAATTAGCAGTTAAAAACGTGTATTCCTTATTACACTTAAATCAAGCTGTTTTTAAAATTCCCGCTTAGAAATTTGGCGGCCGATAATATCCTTTTCCTGGGGCATTTTAGCATCGTGTTGGTAGCACTGCAGCTTGTGCCTTGGTTCTTCAACGCAGACAGGCGGTTGTTTGTATTATTTGTTCTACATATATAGTAATTATTATTGTACCTCCTTCAATTTCATTTATTTTATTACTAACGACAGGTAATAACATTGTATTAACAATTATACTACATGCATTTCAAAAGTTAACAGTATTTTGTTATTTACTAGATATACAAGTGTTGTAGATGGCGTACTTTCAGTAATTGCATTTTTCTAAGTTTTCCATATTCATGTTTTTTTTAGATATATTTCACAATGAGCAAAGTCAGTAACTTTTCTGAAAACGAAGACGATCCTGAAGTCTATGAAAGCTCGGGTGATGAATGGAATAGTAGTTCAGAGGTAAGGTAACAAAATCATTTGCTTGTTCCTTTGCTCACACTAATGTTTGTCTACAGAAGAAAACTAATAACAGACGGTCGTCTCAGAGACTGAGCAAAAAACCAAGAATATCAATAGTAGAAGACGAAAGTACTTCGGATTCGTCGGACGACGAACCAAGAAGAAGAAAACCCAAGAATGGCATGAACAAGAAACAGAAAGTAACAAATACCAGTGCTAATTCCACGTCCAACTCCAATCCAAACAACACCACCTCCAATACAAATTCTAATACAACTTCACCATCTTCAGATTCTGCTAAGCCCGTTTCTGCGACAGCGGCGACCGTGGTGGCACCCGTGTCTCGGGGCATCCATAGGAAGTTTATACCCAAAACCATCTTTTCAGAGGATTATGCGGTAAGTCGGAATACACGTAAACGTTTGCGTTTTCTCGTCGTAATGTGATCTTGTATTTTAGACGGGCTCATTCGTGATCCTCAAGAAGGACGCGCAAGTGGGAGATCCAGCGAAACATCCGTGTATTTGGAGAATAGACGGAAAAGCACTTCTTCAAAAGTATGAAGCGTTCGATGAAGATGGCAAAGTTAGACATAAGAATACTTCAATCGTAAGTAATTTTTAAAAATATTTTGTTTTTTATTTGCTGTATACAATAAAGGTAACATTGCTTTGGGTGTAGAAAACAGGGAAATGTCAGGGGTACTGTGAAAAAATCGGGAAATATATATCGAAATGTCGCGTAAATAGGGAAATTTTTTTTGGGTTGTATCGAAGCGATTAAAATTTACTGTTTGACCGTAACTCGCAAAAAAAATGGGTTATGGAGAAATATTTATTAAAGTTCAAACGTCTGTTTTGTTCGGAGAGAAAATAAAAGAACGTTAAACCTTCCGTCTTGCAAAGTTAGTCGGGAAATCAAAATATCGTTTCAATTTTAGATTAAATCGTGTTTAAGTGTTGAATGGATAGATGGCACTATTGTCTTACGTGAAATAATTCCAGCGAAATCCTAGTAGTTCATAAAATAGGTATTTTATTCGCCAATTTTCGCAAATTCCAGTGCTTTATAACTTCTCGGAACTTATTAAATTTAACAAAAACTTAAAAGAACTGTTGTAATTTAAACAAAAATACATTATCTGAATTATAAGTTTCAAATTCTTTCCTGATGATGGGCTGAATTGTATCCGAAACGTAACTGAACTGCCATAAGTGACCCATCAGCGAACAGAGATCTAAATATTCTTGTAAATAAGATCGTACGCCAACGAATTGTGAGTTTGACAAGTCATATGTCAAGAAATTATTTACAATGTCTCAACCCTTTATTTTCATACTGAAACTTAAGTTTTATTCTATTTTGCCTTTTTCTTTCTTTAAATATTTATGATTTTTCGTCATATTTGTATAAACCGTCAGTTTCAATAAATTGCCAAGTCATGTGTAAAAAAATTTATTTAAAATATGACGTCAATATTTTAATTTTGTATCCAGTCTTAAGGGAGAATTAATATTAAATCGTACAGTAGCTTTAACTCGAATTTTAACTTTGTAATAAGGAAAACCCTAAACGACTGAAAAATGTCTAACGTAACGTTTAAAACTACGCTATTTAAAAAGCAAATCTGTTAATTTACTTAAAAAATAAATTCAATAAAACCGTACCCAATTATTGCAAGCGGGTGAGCTTGAAACAGATCTTGTTTTTGAAAAAACACTTTTTTAGTACACGGGATGGTCCCCGATGGACAAGGACCTGTACGCTCCCGTCACGGTGGACGTGATCCACCACAACAACCAGAACCTTACCGTAGAGCTCCACTGGGACAAGTTAAAGGAGATCAACATGGACAGTGATTAATTCGATGTATTAATTTTTTTTATTTGTTTCATTTTATAAAACTATTAAGGCTTAAATTTTTTTAAGGATTAATGTATTATAAACAAAAAAGTTGCGTTATGAAATTAGTTAAAGTACTTTATTTTAGACTCTAATCCTCCACCGATCGTTTCAAACCGTATAATCTCACTGTAATCTTAAGGAAATTGAAATAAATTTTAATTTAGTACCACCTTTCATTTGTGCGAGCGGGAAACCTTTTAGGGATGACGATATTAGATGTAAAATGTTTAAAATAAATTTATTGTAAGAATTTTTATTTCCTTCGAGTTTTATTTGGAAGTTGTTTTGAACGTGACCATGATTCCGACGTCGTGTGGTTATGTACAGGGTGATTTAAGTATAACGGTAAGTATGATACTTAATTGTGGAAAATACAAACAAAATATTGTTAACTTTGATGAAATGTGAGGTAAAAAAATGCAAAAATTTACCCAAGTCAATTGAATTCCAAAAAAAAATTGAACTGAAAATATTGTAGTCTGGAAAATCTAGTTATCATATAAATTTATCTAATCAATTGTTTTTCCATTTTCTTCTAATTAGGGGAAAATGTTTAAATTGCCAACTAATATGAGTGAAAATGAGTTCTAATATATTTTAATATACAGGGTGTTTGTAAATAAGTGTGAAATATTTTAGAGGGGGTGGTTGCCGAAATTATTTTGTGAAAAAAATGTTCATATAAAAGTAGGTCGAAATATGATTCGTTTCCGAGTATATTGGCACACTTTCTATCTTTGTCCCGCCATCTATCGTTGACATATACAGGGTGTTTGTAAATAAGTGCGAAATACTTTAGGGGATGGTTGCCGGAGTTATTTTGTGAAAAAAAGTTCATATAAAATTATTCTTCAAATTTAAAACTCTGAAATAATAAAAAATTTAAATTTATTATTTCAGAGTTTTAAACTTGAAGAATATTTTTATATGAACTTTTTTTCACAAAATAACTCCGGCAACCATCCCCTAAAGTATTTCGCACTTATTTACAAACACCCTGTACATGTCAACGATAGATGGCGGGACAAAGATAGAAAGTGTGCCAATATTACAGGAAATAATTTTACCTGCAAAGACATTGATAAAGTTGTGGCGATTAAGCCGCTTTCAGATGCATGTTTCTCTTATTGGATTGAAAAAACATTGATTTTTTTTAAAAAGAAAAATTTCAAATTTTTTTTTATTGTATTTATCGGCTGTGTATTGACCAGTAGATACCTAACAAATCTGCAGTTTGTAGAAAGCACTATTAAAAGAAATAATTTTTGTAAAAATTTCTAAACAAATCACCGCCCGATTTATTTCTGTATGCCAAAAAGAGATGGCGAAACGTGATCTGTCGGTAATATAGAGTTCAACTGATAAAATATTTTCAATCTATTTCTCTACTTGTGTAAACTGACTCGGGTAAACAATACCGGGTATTTACGATCACGATAAGATAAAAGTTGTATGTAGGTACTATCGCCTACTTTTTAAGGGGGCGATTTAGTATGTATATTTTTACCATGTAACAGAGCTTCAGATGAGGACACAAATCGTCGAAGAAACTAACATAATTGAATATTATTATATATCAATGTATTCGCAATGGTTCCCGCTAGTGAGTGAAATAAATTTCAATGCTCATGAGAACAGAAGAATAATTTAAATAAATGCCAAAGTACCTCAATTTTAACCATACTGTTAGTCTGCCAATATATTG